ATTACTGTTCCTTTGGAATTAATAGCTTGGTATAGATAGTATATGTGAGGTTATTTCTGTTTGGGGTTGTTATTTTCAAGGCTTTTTTTTTTTTAATTTTGGGGGGTTTTTTGTTGTTGTTGTTTTGTTTTTGTTTTTTTTGTTGTTGTTTTGTTTTTTTGTTTTTTTGAGACAGGGTTTCTCTCTGTAGCTTTGGAGTCTGTCCTGGACTAGCTCTGTAGACCAAGCTGGCCTTGAACTCACAGAGATCCACCTGCCTCTGCCTCCTGAGTGCTGGGATTACAGGCATGCGCCACCACCACCCAGGCTCAAGGTTTTTTTTGTTTTGTTTTGTTGGTTTTGGGTAAGATGGGTGGGTTTTGTTTGTTTGTTTGGTTGGTTGGTTGGTTTTCAACTGAACTAGTTTGGCAACATTTGCTAAGTGATATCTTAAGGGTTTTGTTTTTGTTTTGGTTGTTGTTGTTTTGTTTTGTTTTGTTTTTTTGACACTTAGACCTGAAAACACCATCACTACATTCCTTAGAGTCAGCTGGAGTGGAGGACTGTCAGTCCCTGGCGGGGAGCACATTCTCTTTTTGGTTCACCATTTACCTCGCAGGGCCCTGCAATTCATAATGTAAACACCATTGCAGCATTTATTTATCTTTTGTGCTACAGCTGTATCTGATTCCAATTCATGTTATTCTTCAAATGACAAGCTTTACAAAGGACTGCCTACTTTCATAAGACTCAGATACCAGGCAAAACAGACAGATTTCTCTCTTCTGGCTTTGGCCAAAACTGTAACTAAATTGATTTTTCCATTTCAGCATACATGTAAGTGAGTTGTTGAACGCAGGGAGCTAGGCCTTGGTGGCTGTCTTAGTCAGTGTTCTATTGCTGAGAAGAGACACTATGACCATGGCAGCACTTGTAAAGGAAAACATTTAATTGGGGACTGGCTTACAGTTCAGAGGTTTAGTCCCTTTTCATCGTGGAGGGAAGCATGGTGGAGCACATGCATACATGGTGCTGGACAGGGTCTCAGAGTTCTACATCTGAATCCTGGGGCAGCAGGAAGGAAGAGAGACATATTAAGCATCTAAAACCTCAAGGCCACATCTACTCCAGCAAGGCCACACCTCCTAATAGTGCCACTCCCTATAAGCCTATGGGGGCCATTTTCATTCAGACTACCACAATGGCCAAGAACTGGAATGATAACACTGTTGTGTGAATAGCAGTCAAAGAAACAGGTTTTGTTGTTGTTATTTGGATTTTTGTTTTGAATTAGGTGTAAGTATCTTTATGTGTACATGTTAGTACAGGTGTCAGTGGAGGCCAGAGGAAAGTTTCAGATTCACTAGAGTCGGCAGTACAGGTGGTTATTAACTGCCTATGGACGCTAGTAAGCAAAGTTGGGTTCTCTGCAAGCAGAGTATGCACTCTGTGTGCTCAGTATGTGCTAAGCCATCTCTCCAGCCCCTAGAGCACGGTTTTTAAAGCACATTTTTGTTTACTGCTTTGCTTTAAATTTCTGATTTTCTAGGCTGGAGAGATTGCTCCACTTTTTTTTTTTTTTTTTTTAAGATTTATTTATTTATTATGAATACAGCATGTATGACTGCCCGCCAGAAGAGGGCACCAGATCTCATTACAGATGGTTGTGAGCCACCATGTGGTTGCTGGGAATTGAACTCAGGACCTCTGGAAGAGCAGTCAGTGCTCTTAACCTCTGAGCCATCTCTCCAGCCCCGAGATTGCTCCACTTTTAACAGAACATACTACTCTTCCAAAAGACCAGAGGTCATTTCCCAGTATCCACTTGAGGCAGCCTAGACTTGCCTATAACATCAGCTCCAGGGGACCCGACACCCTTTTCTGGCCTCTACCCACACACAGACACACATACATAGTTATAAATTTAAAATTAAAAGTTTGACTACATAAAAGTCATATACTGTGACAAACAAGTGTGATTCAAAACTACCATAGCATTATAAACATGTTTTCAAACACTTTTCTTTGTGAGTAGAGAATATTAAAAACCTACAGTTTCTCCTAACCTTTTAATGTGCAGATTTTTCTGAATCAGTTGTCCTATAGTGGTATTAGGAATTCATGCCAAATATCTGTTAAGTGGTTTATAAAACAAAGGTGATCAATAATACCATATTTCTTATGCCAAGCATGATGGTACACACCTTGAATCCCTGCTCTTGAGAGGCAAAATCAAGTGGATCTATGTGAGTTTGAGGCCAGGCAGGTTTGCCTGGTGAGAAAACAAACAAAATGAAGAATATTATATTCCTTATTACAGTTTCTTGGAAATAACACTGTACTTTTTAGTGTTCTGAAAAAGATAAGACTTAATCTTAGATATAGTCAGGACACAGAAGCATTTAGCTTTCTCCTCATTCAACCTAGCACTTCTGTCTGTAGTTGGCTACTCTGCTTTATGAACTGAATATTTTCAAATTACATTGTATTGAAAAACCCAGATAATCCTTGTTTTGATGTTGAAAGTGTGGTAAAGCCAGCAGTGTTTAATTTAGAGCATTGTTAGTAATAAAATAGAGTTGCAAATTGTCCTGGCACATCATGAGATAATGTTAAATGAATTATTTAGTGTTAAATAAAAAAGCCTGCTAAGCTATTTTAAACTATTCATGGTTAATGAAAATATTTTAAGATTAAGTTCTTCTGAAATGTGTTGTATTTTCAGTCCATAGATTAACCTTTTGAATTTTGAGTCATAGGATGTCCTCTTTTAATTAAAACAAAACTGTGAGAATTGACTTTTTTTAATGTATAATAGAAAGGTTAAATTTTTGTATGAGCTCTTTATTTAAAAGAAAACAACAATGTGTTCCTTTATTTAAAATATTTGATGCCTTGATAATAAATGTGACACAACTCTGATGATGAAATTGACTTTTAGAATTGAAAGGAAAGTGTGCCTCGTGAACATGAATCAGAGTGCAGAGGCTACAGATAAATCCAGGGTACAGGTATGGCGAGACTAAGCTGCCATTTGTAAAGAGCGCTTGCCTAAACACACTGGAACTCAGGACTTCAGATGTGGGGTAATGGGAGTGATTGATTTGGAAAGAAGGGGCTGGTGCTGCCTCCTCCTTGATGTCTCCAGAAGAATCATAGAGGGAGGTGCTTGAAGCAAGGGAGGTCATCTGATTGGCAGCGTAAGGATTTCCACATGGAGAGGTGAGCGGAGTGCCTGCGGGCAGGGAGGGCCCAGTCACAACACAACAGACTGCCGCTTTATTGTGCCAAGGAGCTACCGATGCCTAGTTCCTACACTTGGTGAACATGTCTTGTCTGTCTCCATCACTCTCCTCCCTCCCCTCCCCTCCTGAGGGTCTCCCCAAATCCCTTCAAGACTGCTTCACTTAGAAGTGTCGCTGTATCCTTTTTGCCTTCCCTAGGACCCTGAGCAGCTCTGTACCAGCTAACCCTCGTACATTTTGTAGTCACCTTTCCTCCCTATCACTGTTAGCTGACTGAATGCCACCTGCCCTGTCCCCAGGACTGCTGTTAACTGACTACAACATTTGGTTAGTGTCTAGGTTCAGCCTTTTCGTTATATCCCTTACCTCTAACCAAATGGGGGTGTTTTCTTTTAATTTATCTTCTCATTATACAAGTCATAGGTGTTTATTGTAGAGATTTGAGAAGACTCAATGAAAAAAATCTTAAAATGTATAATTTTGATCTCTTCCCATCTTTCATGTACTTCCACATTTAAAAAAAAATTAATAACTGAGGCTGGACAAAAGGTGCAGCAGTCACAAGTACATACTGCTCTTCCAGAGCATCTGAGTTCAGCTCCCAATACCCATATTGTACTGCTCACAACCACCTAAAACCCCAGTCCCATGCAATCCAACACCGTCATTTGGTCTCCTTGAGCCCCCACATACATGTGACACACGGGGGGGGGGGGGGGGAGAGAGAGAAACAGGCATACACAAAAATAAAAAAAATAGGGGTTGGGGATTTAGCTCAGTGGTAGAGTGCTTGAAGACATAGGGGTTGGGGATTTAGCTCAGTGGTAGAGTGCTTGAAGACCCTGGGTTCGGTCCTCAGCTCCAGAAAAAAATAAAAAATAAAATAAATAAATAAAAATTAAAAAATTTAAAAAATAAAAGTAAAAATAAACAACCTACAACAGTAGCCAAGCTGTTTTCTAGCCTGGTTCTCGGTTCTCCATTGCATCCATTAATTCCTTAAAGGCTTCACTGCATTCCATTCTTGAGTGGGTCTCAGTGAGATTCAGAAGGGATAAGCCCAGGTATTTTTCCAAAAATACTTTTATTTCATGCTTATTCTTCAATTATAAATTAGCCAGATATGGTAGGCAATTTTCTAAAGTATGTTACATTTTGTATTCTGATACCCTGCTGATGAAAAGTCTAAAGGTACAATGAATGATACCTTTGTGTCTTTAAAAATAGTCACTTTTGTGAGCTGTACTTTTCCCCTCTTAAAACAGATTTTTGGATTTACTGTGCTTATAAACCAAATGGATTAAGAAGCAGATTTCATATATAAATGAGGACTCAATAAAAATCCCAAAGTCACTGCATTTATAGGGTAGTGTCCTCATGGCATACATGGAATTGTGTGTTTATGGTTGTTTTTCTGAAGGCAGGTTTCTGTTGTTTTTTTTTTTTTTTAACGCATCTTTATTTCTTGTCAGGATAGTGGAAGCTTTGGATTAATCACGATGAATTTTAGACAATAAAGACAATTTGTTTTGCTTGAAGAGTTTGGTTTACCCATGCAACATAGTTTCAGAACTACTTTCAGGACTGTAGTGACATAACTTGTATGTTTAGCTTATGGGGCTAGTTTTTACATTGTCGTTTTTCTGTGTTTCTAAGTATTATGGTAAAGCTACTGTGATATTCTGAGCTTACTTGCTTACATGTTATTAGTAATTTCATAACTCTACAGGATCCACTCTACTAAGCAGTATATTAACAATGCCTTCTGTTTTTCAGATTGCAAATAGAAGAGTCTTCCAAACCTGTAAGGCTGTCACAGCAGCTAGACAAAGTTGTAACGACCAATTACAAGCCTGTCGCTAACCATCAGTACAATGTAAGTCTTCTGTGGGGCTTCATCAGTGTCACAGATCCTTAAGCTCTGGACCTTCGCAGTCATGCAGCTTCCTGTGACCTGTGCTAAGCATAGAAAGGTGCTTGCTCTTTATCTGGAGCTACATGTGGAAGGGAGCCACTGTCCAAATTGTTCTGATCGGGTCTTACAGATAGATAATACCACTTTATTCTCAATGTTTCTAATCACAACAGACTTTATAAACATAAATTTACTAATTTTATTTGTTTTCTGTATCTGTATGGTTTACCATACCAGTTTTAATGTGCTGACAGATTTTCAAATATCATACAGAAATATGTACAACTCTGTGTCATTATTTGAAAATCTTAAGGGTTCTGGAACAGTGGTGGTTGTCCTTGTTGATTATTAAGATTGCTTTGTTTCATTTCAGGTGTCACAGGCATTTTTATGGTCCTTCATTCGTATGCAAAGTGAGGACTGCCAGTGTTCTTAAACCTTTCTATTGAAGTATATGGCTAGGACAATGTATGATAGAGATGTAAATTGTCTTCTTGAGTATCCTAGCGCATTATTATGTCCGTTACTTTTTTGAGGGTCTCTAGACTGAACCTGCAGGTCACTGATTCAGCTAGACTAGCTGGCCAACAAGCCCCAGATTTTGGAATTCAGTTCCTCTTTTTTTAGAATAATTCATGATTTTATTTAATCTATTTTAATTGTGTGTACAACTCATAATATCCATATATTAATATAGGATGATAATATATTATATATTATTAAGATATACCTGAGTGATTCGTTCTTTAAATTTTTTGCTTGTAGAGATGTTAATCAAAAAGTATAATCAGGCCAGGTGTGGTGTCACACACTTTTAATCCTAGCACTCACTCTTGAGGCAGATGGGTCTCTGAGTTCCAGTCCAACCTGTTCTACATAGTGAGTTCCAGGCCAGCCAGGGCTACATAGTGAGACCCTGTCTTAAAAATAAAGAAATAGGGCTGGAGAGATGGTTCAGAGGTTAAGAGCACTGACTGCTCTTCCAGAGGTCCTGAGTTCAATTCCCAGCACCCACATGGTGGCTCACAACCATCTGTAATGAGATCTGGTGCCCTCTTCTGGCCTGCAGACATACATGTAGGCAGAACATTGTACACATAATAAATAAATCTTAAAAAAAAAATAAATAAAAATAAAGAAGTATAATTAGGGGCTATATATATAAATATATATATATATATATATATATATCCATCCTTTGGTAAGGTGTTTGTCTGGCAAACAGGAAGCCCTGAATTTGAACCCCAGCACTGCATACAATTGATCATGGTTGTATATGCTTGTAATCCCAGCATGCTTGATGAAAGCAAAAGGATCTGAAGTTCAAAGGTTAGCCTCAGCTGGAGCAAGTTTGAAGCCAGCTTAGACTATATGAAACCCTGTTGAAAAATACACTTGATCAAAATTAGCTAATATGTAAGATTCCTGCCAACTCTCCATCTCGGAGTCAAAGTAACGATGCCACTGTCTGGTGGACTTGTCATCATCCGCCCCTGTGACTCTCACAGGTACTCTGTGGTCTCATAAAGAACTGTCCTCTGCTGTCTCTGTGGTGGTTCTTAGTGTGACTCATATGCTAGAATCACCCAGAAGGATCTTTCCTAAAGAGGGGAAATGCCTCCAGAAATTAACTCAGTTCATCGAATGTGGATTGTGTTTTAAGCTCCTGGGTTATTTTGGTTTGCAGCTACCAATCCGAAGACAGGAACTTTTTATAGTTGTCTGCCATCTGTTGAGAAGGGAATGGGGTTCTAAAGGCACCAGGAGACGGTCTTCTAACTGAAGATGTGTCTTCTCACCTTTGTTACCATCCCTGCCCTCTTGTTCTGAGTTTAATAAAGGACTCTGTGTCTAGCTTTTGGTGCTAGAGGAGCTAGGATAAGCTAACTGGAAAGCACTGAGGGAAATAATAGAGTTGTTACATAAAACCTTCCGGTGACAGCCTCCTCCCAGGAACTAGGCAGGCGTTTTATGTTTATGCGTAGTCCTTTCCCTTCCGTGAGACAGCCAGCTGCTGGTCTCAAGAACTAAGGTTGTTGAACTTTGAGCTTTTCAAAGTTAGGTGCCTAAGAATACTACATGCCTTGTCCTTTTGAATTTGCTTACCAAGGATTGACCTGCTCTGAAGAATTACTACCTCCTAAGAGATAATGACATACTAATCAGAAATGGAAGCATTGACTGAGGGAGAGGGAAGTAATCTTTCACAAAGATTTAAAATACAAAGCCATGATAGTCAAGGCTGTCACAGTCACTTCAGAAGTTGGAATAAAAGCCTCACAAAGACTGCCTTGACAAAGCAATCAGAGTATTTCTGCAAACAACAGTCTAGAATTTACAGACATCTGAATTATAATATTTTAATTGGTAGTGGGCGGCATTTATAATTTTAGTCAGTGATTAAGGTTTCAGCAATAACGATTGAGCATGTCTATATCACATCCACAGTCAATTTTCAACATGCAGTTATGTTTTAATCTTGAATAATTTGTTCTCTTGAGAAAATAAAATTAATTTCATCTGATAAGTTTGGGGAATATAAAACATAACTGGAGACTTAGCTTAAAGTGCTTTCTGAGTTAACATTTCTCTCTAACAGTTGGTTCCACAGTGATGTGGTCAGTGGAGGCGGGTGAAATACCAGTAAGTAGAATTCACATGACATAACAATTACTTCTGTGCCAGTAACATCTTAGTAATTTATACATTGCCCTGGCTGCTGATGAGCTGGCTGGCTGGCTGCTGGCTCTACATATCGTTCCCTTGCAGTTCCAGTGGGCATCAGTGAGAAGCGAAATACCCAACGGGGAAAGAAGCAACACTGGCTCAAAATAATCTTCTGGGTACAGTGGTTCATTGTGTTCAGAGTTTATTTGTATGGCCTCGTTTGTAGTGTTCAGTTGAGTACAGTACGAGGGGCACCGTTTTTATACTATGTAGTATAAAAAAAACAACAGTTACTTCAAGGCCTTAGCTTTGTCCTAAGTACAACATTAGGTTTTAGATGGCTTAGCACTTCAGAGCACTGGCTGCTCTTCCAGAGGACTTGGATTTGATTCCCAGCACCCCTGTGGTGGGCTCATAACCCCCTAGAACTCCAGTCCCAGGGGATCCATTGCCCTCTTCTGGCCTTTATGGGTACCAGGCACACACTTGATGCACAGACATACATGCATAGAGAACACCTGTGTACATAAAGGGAAAACAACAGCATTAGGTACTAATAGCTTGATGCATCTAAGTCTCTTTTAAGAGGATGTGAACACTGGGCCTACTTGGCTGATGATACCACAGATGAGAATTTAGATTATGAACCTGTCTTAGACATTGCCAAGGCAAATTTAACCAATTTATTTTAAAGCAGTTTTTTTCTATAAGTTATCGATAGTATGGACTCTAAGAACACTAAGTGTATGTTCCAATACGGAAAAGCTCTCTAATGAGGACTGATAGCTCCATTTTCATCGTTGCTGTTTTAGACACCTGGGTTTTCAGGTTACACTTGGTTTGGTGGTTGGGGTTTTTTATTTTGCTTTAGGCATGTAGTCCATGGCTAGCCTTAATCCTCTGTCGCTGAGGATGACCTTGATCTCTTGCTGGGGTGAGTGCACCACCCTGCCCTGTGTGCGTTTTCTCTTCGGTTAAAGAAGGAAAACACCAGAACCTGTGCAGCAGTCACTGTATTTGGGGTGAGAACATACCAACCAGGAATCTTGTTAATCTAGGTAGTATTTGGTTGTTTTCTTACTAATTAACATTTACTAATTATAATTTGAGCTTGTTTGTAATTTATTCTAAAAATCTTACCTTTGAGTCAAGCCTTACTGGCTCTAGATTTGGGGGTTGGAAAAAAAACAAAACACATAAATGTCTCACCATTGCAGAGTAGAATGTGTGCCTTCTCTAAGTGAGCCATCCTGCTTTACTGGTAAGATTACGATATCATTTTCCTACTGACCAGCCAGTTTCTTCAGTCATTTCAAACAAAGAAGACCTTGCTAATATGCCATCCATCACTCCTCCCGTTCCTGAGCTCAAGCCCTCCTATATTCTTCCAGCATAAATTAAAGCTGGGAGGGTAGCATGTTGTGATACTTGGTTTCGTGGGTTTGGTTCTGGTCACTCATGCTTTCTTGATTCCCCAGGATGATCATTCTCTTAATTCCATCTTTGGAACCCAGAGAAATCTTCTAAATCTTTTATAGCTGCACATAGGTATGCTATTTTATGTTATTTTCAAGATACCTCTCCTCCATTTTTGGATGCTTTTTTTTTTTTTTTTTTTTTTTTTTTTTGCTACTTAGGCAAGCATTCTACCACTGATCTCTATCCCTGGCCTTTTGTTTTGTTTTCTAATTTGAGATAGTCTTGCCAAGTTGCCTGGGGTAGCCTTGAATTCCCTCTGTAGCCCATGCAGCCTTGAACTTTTGGTCTTTTCTCAGCCTCCAAAGTAGCTGGAATCACAGGCCTGCACTAATAGGCCTGCCTCACTGAGAGAATCTTGAAACTGGCTTGGGCTTTATTCTACAGCATGCATTGGAGATTTTTCCTCTGTTACGATCTTGTCCTAGGAAGTTCAGTGATGTCCTACCACTGCATTTAAAATATAGAGTATAAGCTTAAGTGACTCAGAGTTGTTATCTCTGAGTGCTTGGGCTGTTCTGAAGCTGGTCCCCAGCTAGAGCCAGATTACTACAGTAATCTCAGTATGCAGGGTCTCCTCTCTGCTGGCCTCTTCCAGCCCACCAGAGCTTTAGTTACCCAGGGAGCTTCCTGACTGGCCTTTCAGCAGCACATTACTCTGCCTTGTGGTGAAGAAGAAGCTAAGCTTAACCAACTGGCCTAAATAAATAAATAAAGCTGGATATTCTGTGTGTGTGTGTGTGTGTGTGTGTGTACACACATGCAAGCACATAAAAGCTTTTTTTTCTTCTTTTTCCTCTTCTTTTGAGACGAGGTTTCTCAGTGGCTCAGAACTCTTCCAGAACCTCAGGTATCTGGAAGATGTCTATCTCTGCCTCCCCAGCACTAGGATTACAAGTACTTACCAGTATGCCTTGCTTTTTACCTGCATTCTTAGAATGGAACTCAGCTTTTACTAACTGAACTATCTTCCCAACAGATTATTTTTAATGCAAAGATGATTTTCTGCAAATGATTAGTACTGGGATAATAACAATGGGAGAGAACTACTTTTTAACTTTATTGACATTCACACAATTGTACAAAATACTGGATTTCATTATATTTCATACTTGTCTATAATACATTTTGATCATTTTCAAGCCCCTGCTATCATATCCTGCTCCCTCTCTCACTGCTCCCCTTTCTCTACCTTCAAGCTCTCCTGCTTTCATGTATTATCTCTATAGTTTTCATCATCATCAGTAGTACATGTTGTCTTAGGGTCACTATTGCCACTATGAAACACCATGACCAAAGTAGTTGTGGAAGAAAGGGTTTATTTGGCTTAACATTTCTATATTGCAGCCCATCATTGAAGGAAGTCAGGGCAGGAACTCAAGCAGGGCAGGAACCTGGAGGTAGGAGCTGATGCAGAGGCCATGGAAGGGTACTGCTTACTGGCTTGCTCCTCATGATTTGCTCAGTCTGCTTCCTTGTAGAACACAGGACCACGACCTCTCCCATCAATAACTAATTGCCTTATAGCCAGATCTTACAGATACATTTTCTCAATTGAAGTTCCCTTTCAGATAACTCTTATGTCAAGTTGACATAAAACTACGTGTGTGTGTGTGTGTGTGCGCGCGCGCGCGCGCACGCACGCGCGCGCACGCACGCGAGCGTACATGCATATTATATATACATACATACATACATATTCATACATACTTACAAATAATCTGCTGGTTCATTTAGCGTTGCTCATATATACTTTTTTTTCATGTGTATACAGTAACCAGTTAGGGGCTCATCCCTGGAGAAGACTTGATTCTCCTCTCAGCAGTCACCAGTTACTTGTGGCTTTTCATTTAGGGGTGGGACTTTCTGAGATTTCCCCGTTCAAGTTGCATGTCAACTGGTGTCATTATTCGGGTCCTATTTAGGTGACCATAGTGTTGCGATCCTATGGGTGCAGCTTCTCTGTCTGGTACAGAAAATACTGTCTCACCACAGATAGTCTGGTCCTCTGGCTTTTAATACTCTTTCTACTCCCTCTTCCAGTATGTTCCCTGAGTTATATTGTAGATAGATCTGTTGGCAGTGAGCACCCCAAGGTCAGTTGTTCTCTGCTTTTGACCATTTGTCGTTTTTTGTAATGGTCTCCATCTGCTGCAGAGAGATGCTTGTTTGATGAGGGGCGAGAGCTGCGTCCAGTGCTGGTGTGTGTGAAGATGTACAACACAGTGGGGTACATAACGATGGTCCTAGTGTCTTGGTTTTATTTGAATAAGGACAGCTGATAGCAGATAAAGGAAGATTCAGAAAAATGGTCTGCTGGTGTCGGTGCTGAGGGTATTACCTTTCTTGTTGTCACACCTCAGTGTGTAGAAGTAAAGCACAGCTGGGGTCAGAGGGAAGAATCCTTTCTTCCTAGTGCTTCCCTTCCCTGGTGCTAGAATACCTGCCCTGTAATGAGCCTGTGCCCGCCCGCCAACTCTGAGAGCCATGAAATCATCTTACTGTATTTTGATTAGTCAAAAACAAAGGAACTGCAAGTTAGTTTCTGGCTAGTCCAGGCTAACCAGGAAGAAAACCTCCTTGTGGGGAAATAAAGCGTCAAGGGAGACTGAAAATGGTTTAGAGCGGTGTTGTAACTGTCCTAGAGCCTGAAAGGTACTGAGAGTCCTGGGGCAACAAGACCCTGACTTTGAATCCCTGCCGGAGGCCTGATACCTTGAAACTTTCAATGTAGTTCTCAGATGACTAGGACTGAAATGCCTGTTTCCAAATGGTTCTGTTACATTGATACCTTTCTTCTGTGTTTGCCTATAGATTGAATATGAAAGGAAGAAGAAGGAAGACGGAAAGCGAGCTCGGGCAGACAAACAACACGTCCTAGACATGCTGTTTTCAGCCTTTGAGAAACATCAATACTATAATCTTAAGGACTTAGTGGACATCACAAAGCAGCCTGTGGTATGTATGTGTTTCTGCTGATCCTTAAGCATACCCTACTTCGTTAACATAGTATTAGTGAGGAGAAGCATGATTACGTTCACATCCACTCTTCTAATGACAGTTTATGTTGACACTCAGAAAACAAGTCTTCATTAATGCAGCTATGTCTTTCCAACATCCACCTCAGTACTTGAAATTTAAGATACATTTAAGGGCCACTGAAATGGCTCACTCTATAAAGGCATTCATGCACATGCCTGATGATCCCTGAACCCACTTCAGAAGGAGAGAACCCCCCTCCTGAAAGTTGTCTTCTGACCGTTACACACACACACACACCAAGACCCTCATGTGTGCAAGCGTGTGTGCACACACAATAATAAAATGTTAGGGCCAGAGAGATAGCTCGGTGATTAAGAGATTGGCTGCTCTTCTAAAGACTCGGGTTTGACTCATTGCCCCCACATGGCTTATAACCATCTATATCTCCAGGTCAGGAGATCTGACACCTCTCCAGCCTCTGCAGGCACCCAGGCATTCATGTGGTGCATGACATACATGCAGGCAGAACACCCTACACATACAATTAATAGTGGTGGTAAGGTCATAGACACATTTAATGGAAGTAATTTTGTATGAAGAAAAGGAACCTGTATTTTTAATATTAATCTGAGATCTGCTAAATGGTTCACATTCTTTTTAATTTCTGTTAAAGTGTTCCTGCTAGCTACACTGTTAGCAGCTCAGCGAATGCTTTCTTTCCCTTCGGCTTCACAGCCTGGGAAACAGCACTCAAACTAGATTAAAATATTTTTAAAGGAATAATTTATTAGCAAGCTGTGTTTCTTCTGGTTTTAATGACGTTTATCTTTTTACTTTTATATGTAAATATGTCTACATGAAAAGGCTGTTCAGACACTGACAGCAGATAAGCTCTTCCTGCAGAATAAAACATTCCCATAGTTAGACATGAGGAAATAAGCCAAGTGCAGGGGCATTCTAGTGATGCTAGGGAAAGGAAGTTCCTGTCCTTACCGTGGGGGTTAGGTTTGTTCATTTTGCCTGTACAGAAGGGAATTATTAGAATTTCTGTCTAGGGTAGATGTAGTGATGCATCTTTGTAATCTTAGTACTCAGAGGCTGGAAGATCCCAAGCTCAAGGATAATACACAATACATGTGTACCCTGTTTCCACAAACTCTTTCATCAGTTCAGTTTGGGGGTTTTTGTTTGTTTGTTTGTTTTTGTGGGTTTTTTGTTTTGTTTTGTTTTCATTTCACTCTTTGTGTATGAGTGTTTTGCCTTCATGTATGTCTGTGCCTGGGGAGACCAGAAAAGGGCATTGGATGCTGGGAATTGAACCCAGGTCCTCTGAAAGAGCAGCCAGTGCTCTTAACCACTGAGCCAGCTCTTCTGCCGTGGTCAGATAGTTGTTCTCTCTCACACGTGCTTGCTCGTCCTCTCTCTCTCTCTCTCCCCCTCCCTCCTCTCTTTTTCTCTCTCCCTCGTCCCCCGTCACACACACATACACACACAACCCTCCTGCCTTTCCCCTCTCCTCTCCATCTCTCATGTCCCATCCCCCACCTCCACCCCACTTTTACTTGCTGCCTGGCTACCTCACTTATATAACCTAGACTGACCTCAGACTCAAAATCCTCCTGCCTCAGTTACTATAGTTCTGGGATTAAAAGCACATGCCCCCATATTTACCTCTAGTTTTTTCTTTTCTCTTATTTTTTCTTCCTAAAACCCTTCATTTCTACAAGCAGACTTACTCATCACAGAAAGGGTAAGGTAGTCTTTATGTCATTCACTAGTATGTAGCTTATATAGGCAACCAAAGCAATAGAACCTTCTCAAAGACAGCCAGTTTGAAAAGACCAAGCTTTGGTACCTGATACAAAGTCAGCATATGATACCTATTTAACGGAATGTTTGTATGTGATTGAGCTTTTAGCTTTTTCTTCTCTCTCTATAATATGAAACATTGAGAGATGTTCAGTGGTTAGAGCATTGGCTGTTCTTCCAGAGGACCAAGATTTGATTCCCAGCACCATATGACAATGCATAACTGTCCAGAATATAAGGGATCCAGTGCCCTCATCTGGATTCCGTGGGAACCGGTATACATGTAGTGCACAGACAGGCAAAACACTCACACATGAAATAAAATGAAAATAACTTAAACATATTTAATAATAAAAATAAAATATGAAATAGAGGAAACCTGTTATTTCTCCCCAGCTCTTGGTGATCTTTAACATTTGCTCTGTTTTGTCTGGTCTTCCTCCATGTTTTATCGATAAACTAGAAGCACACATAACATTGCCTTTAAAAACACAAGCCATTGAAAAGTTTAGTTGTGCCCTTTGAAACATGAAGCTGCCGATAGCACTCTGAGACCTGACACCCTGCTTCCAGCATCTCCTCTTTACCCATGTGCATCTGTAGTAATGCCGTAGAGGCCGCTCCGATTATAACTGAGCCTTGTCATTTCCTTGCACTCGGTCCTCCCGGTGTGTTTATTATTTTGTAGGTGTGGGTGTACATGTAGAAGTCAGAGGATAGCTTGAGAGAATCAGTTCTGTCTCCCACGTAGGTTCCACAGATGAAACTCAGGTCATCGGGCTTGGCTACAGGTACCTCTACCTCTGAACCATCTCACCAGCCCCCAAGTGCACCACCTTTTAATTCAAAATGGATAGTTGAATAATCGACATGCTTCTAATAGAGTAGGTTTGAGTCACAAGAAAAGTGCAACTTGGTGCCCATACTCACACAATCCTGCCTAACAGTCGCTTCTCTGCATGGCAGGTATTCCATAAGTAAAGCAGTTATGGTGCTGTATCAGCAGTCAGGTGGGATTAGCCTGGGACTCAGAAGCTATTTCCAGATAGGCCTAAGTAAAGATCTAAATAAATAGTAAAGATCTGGAGAAATGACTCAGCAGTTAAGAGCACTGATTGTTCTTCCAGAGGACCCAACCGTCTGTAACTTCAGGCCCTGGGGATCCAATGCCCTCAGGAGCACCAGGCATGCATGTGATGTACATACGCACATGCAGGCAAATACACACATAAAATAAAAATAAGTAAACTTGGGGCTGGAGAGATAGCCCCATGAGTAACAAACAGCAAGAGACCTAGGTTTGATTCCCAGGACCCATGTGGTGGCTCATAGTGTCTGTAACTCCAGTTCTAGGGAATCCAACAGGCATATTACAGGCTAAATACCCATACACATAAAATAAAATAATCTTTTAAAAAGGATTAGAATAAAAGTAGTTTAAGCAAAATTTGGAGTCGAAGATTGTGTGATGTTTCTCCAAGGATAAAGTAGCTAGAGAATTTGAAATCGAGTGCATCTTTCCCATGAGACCTGGAGACTTTCAAGCATATCCTACTGGGGTCTGTGATTGGTGATGATTCCCAGTTACAAGGGACAGAAAGCAACTAGAACTAGTGTCCACAAAACTAGGAGGTATCCCTCATGTAGCTGTAAAGTTCCAGGCCATGGCTTTAGAGGCAGCTCGAACTTGCTTCTCATGTTATTTACTTTAGACTGTTCCTTCCCCTCTTTCCATCTTCCTTGTTTGTTGTCTTTATTGTAAGCAGATGCTTGCCCGTTAGAGTAGCCAAAATGGCCTCCTCCCAGCTAGCAGCCACTCAGAAGACCTATCCTGGTTATTCCTGTAAAAGACCCAGGGTGGGTTCCGATAAGTTCAATAGGAGTTGAGTGTCTGTTTCTGTTTTTGTTTTCGTTTTGTCTTGTTTTTCGAGACAGGGTTTCTCTGTGTAGCTTTGAGCCTTTCCTGGATCTCGCTCTGTAGACCAGGCTGGCCTCGAACTCACAGAGATACGCCTGGCTCTGCCTCCCAAGTGCTGGGATTAAAGGCGTGCGCCACCGCCGCCCGGCTGAGTGTCTGTTTCTGGACTAGGAGGTCAGGTCAGGAAATGCTCTAGCATATTAATTCCAGATACAATGTAGTCAAAGCACAGCTTAGGAGGGGAGCTGCACATGCAGTTTATGCATATGCATGTGGACACGGGTCACCATTGGGTGTCAGTCCTCAGGTGCCTCCTGCTGTTGTCCTTTGTCTCACTGTTGTTGTTGCTGGCTCACTGGCCTGAGCCTTCTCATTAGCCTTGGGTGGTGGGCCAGCGAGCCCCAGGGGCCTGCCTGTCTCCTCCTTAGTGCTGTGATTACAAGCACACCTTCCATGCCCAGCTTTTTCACAAGGGCTCTAGGGCTCACCCTTAGGACATGCTTGCTTGGCAGGAACTTTACTGACCAAGCCACCCCTCAGAACAGAACTTGATTTCCATACCTTACCAAGCATTTAGTAAGTAATGCTGACACCCAGGTTGCTCAAGCCAGACAGAAATTCCTATTCTTCATGCTGTGGACTACAAATCCTGGCCTGTGGGCTTCCTACTTGGGTCCTTAAAGTAAAAGGTAGCATAGAGACTGATTTTCTTTTCTTAAGATTTATTTTTATTTTATGTGCATAGGTGTTATTGGACCTAAATCTTAACAACTCAGCCATCTCTCCAGCGCCAAGACTGATTTTTCTACCTAACAGGTCCAGGGCAGGGCTGAGGCTTGGACACAGTTGTCCTGACTTCAGCTGAGGAATGTCATTATTGTGTCCTCTGAGATTTATTCCAGCACATATATAGATCTGTGGACAAGCAAGGAAAATTTTCCTGACAGCCTTTTTAATGAGGAGGGAAATGTGTTTTCCTCACAATAAGGTTCCTTTCTGCTTTTCATGTAGTATACAACCAGTGGAAACCCAGAGAAGACACAGGATGGGGGTGGGGTGGCTAGTGAGGTGAAAAGGAGAAACCCGCAGGCCCCAGCACCACCTTCCTCTCCTGTTCACAGTTTAGTCTGTCTGAAGTAGTGGGAGCATCTGTTGCCTTTCTTCGCTGTTTACTCCTAATGTGTCCTTCGTTTCTTCATGAGCAGTTCTGTGCCTTGAAGTCACTAACAGCCTCATCACCGGTCCTATGTTCTGTTGACATCTCTGACAGGAGTCACTTACTCACGCAGAAAATTCTGTTTATGACACCCTTCCTCCTGTGGTACCCTGTTACATGACACACAATCCCCATGTGCCACCTGGGGCACACAGATCTGCATATTGGGCACTTGATCTACACTTGTGGGGCCAGTTTTGTGACTAGAAGCCAAACAGCATCTATGATTAACTTACTGAAAGCATTAGTAGCTGTAATCTGCTCTATGACAGAGCTGTTCATTCATAATCAAGTTCAGTTGATTTATTATTATGTAAATAATGCTTATCACTGAAATGCTTAATAAAATGAAATGCAGATCAGTCCTCTGAGGTTGGCAGAGCTGGAGAAGGAAAGAACTGGGTGGGTGACGTGGCAGGAAGCAGAGAGGAAACCATGGGTTGCTTGCAGCTCGTCCTAGGCTGGAGGAGGGCAAGTGTGGAAGTCCATTGGCCGATTCTGACTTGTTACTCACCGGTCGTGTCCTGAACACAAACACAAAGCCCATCCTGATCCTCTGGCCCTGTGCTCAGGTATGCTTTGCTGCTTCCTTCCCGGAACCTGTGGCACTGTGTCCCCCTTTGCTCTGCTCCGCTCGCTGTTGCTTCCCTCCCACACATCCCTTTGATGAGCGCCAAGGCTGAGCCAGTGTCTGAATGACGTGCTGCATTGTGGCCCACACTAATGAGAAACATCCTAGTCCCATGTGACTCGAAGCTCTGCCGGTTGCTGGCGTCCTTTCTGAAAGGCAGGCATTGAGGTGGGAAAGTAAGTTGGATGGCTGCTCAGTTTTTAAGTATGTGCTTCTCTCTGCACAGAATTACTGTCGGTTGAAATGATCAAGTACCCATCCTCAGAGAACTTAAGAGCTTCACAGGCAGGGGCAGCGGCCCGGCCCTTCTCAGTGCTCCTACAGCACGCTGTGTATGTGACTGTCCTGTGCTTGCCTAGGTACACCATGTCTCCACCCGATCCGGTCTGCAGGGAAGCCTGAGGTTCTGTCTCACTTGAGTGGCATGTCGTCGGTGCCGGAGTAAATACTGGAGTGGATAACTGAGGGAGTGAGATTAGCAGTGGTCAGTCCACGTACAAATTTTAACATTTCGTCTCTCTCTCCAGCATTATTATGTGGTCTGGTATGCTTTCCTGCATACAGCTACAGCACAGCTTTTCATAATGAACATTCAAATTCAGGTAGTGCAGTTCACTCAGTTTTGCTCCTCAAACTGTCACTGCCTGTTCCAGAAGTAAGACTCCAAAAAGTATAAGTAACAAGAATTGGAGTTCATGAAGCTCATCTCTACAGACCTTCTTAGCAGCTCCCCAGTCACTCTGCTACCTAGTCAGTTGCTCAAGCACCCCTACTCACTCAAATAGTACCCGGCCGGCATCAGTGATGTACAGGGAGGCCTGGCAGGGGCACATAATTTAAGAGGAGAAAGACATGTAAAGAAATAAAGCCCTGAAGACAGTCTAAGCACAGAGAGCCAAAACTGGGTTATCACAGTGGCAGGGTGGGCAGTGTGGAATGCAGTTGTATGGGTTGAGATGAGTGCTGAAGAAAAAAACTGGGTTATCACAGTGGCAGGGTGGGCAGTGTGGAATGCAGTTGTATGGGTTGAGGTGAGTGCTGAAGAAAATTTCTCTGCACAAGTGACATAAGCCAAGTGTAAAGGATAAAAGGTTGAGCTATGAGGGCAGGGTAAGCATTACAGGGAGGAGGCACCTAGCATGGCGAACTCAGAAGCACAGAGAATGGCAAGTGGGACCCAGGACAAGCCAGCCAGAGTAGATGCCCCTGAAGGAACCTGAGATGAGACTTACAAGCCAGGAGACATCTTTGAAACACCTCACTGTTGTCTGTTATGCTGACTAGTTTTAAATCAACTTGACACAAGCTAGAGTAATCTGAAAGGAGGGAATCTCAATTGAGAAAGTTTCTGTAAGATCTGGCTCTGTGGCATTTTCTTAATTAGTGATTGATGTGTATAGGCAGAGTTATTTGTCAGGACTGCCGGCTCCTCAATAAACACACAGAGACTTAATAAATTATAATGCTCGGCCAGCTCTTAGAACTTAAATTAACCCATATTTCTTATCTAAGTTCTACCACATGGTTCATGACTTGTTACCTCATTTTTTATACATCCTGCTTCCTCTGTTGGGCTCACAACTCCTCTGACTCCGCCCTTCTTCATCCCAGCGTTTTCTCTGCCTTGAAAATCCTGCCTAGCCATCAGCCAGTCAGCTTTGTATTAATAATGAGAGCAATACATATTTACAGTGTACAAAGGTTGTTCCACAGCAGTTAGGGGAGGGCCCAGATCATTGTGGGTGGTGCCATCCCTGGGCTGGTAGTTCTGGGTTCTATAAGGAAGACCTCTTCCTCCCGTTAGGGATTTTTCTGAACATGTTTTACCCTGTAGCTACTACTTCTTTCTCGCACACGCTGTGCCTACCCCCCTTGCCAAGGCCTTTTATTTTGTTGGAGTACAATGTCTTGTGATTTGAAACATCCTAAAGGCAGAGGAAACTTAAAAGCACCACCCTGCAGGGTTATAGCCGGGGTAAGTGTTTTTCTGATTCTGTTTTGTTACTTGACCGGGTCAGTAGGCAGTGATTATCCCCTTCTTACTGTTGCGATAAGTTCGTGTACTGCATGGGAAACAGCCAGCTTGTAGAGTGAAGACTTTGTCTTTGTGGTTGTGAGCCTAGCCCCTGCCAGCTGAGCCATCTCTCCATCCCTGTGCAGACACTCTCACTGTTTCATGGTGAACACTTCTGGCCTTCCATCTTCTTGGCCTAGATTATAGGTAGGCACACAGCTGGAAATCAGGAGAGCTCTCTTCTCTGGGCTGCTGAAATGCTCCTGGTGGTGGCTGTTTGCGTGTAGCCCCACTCTGGTGCATCTACAGCCACGTGATTGTTCGTGCACCAGCATCTTAGCAGCCGCACAATAGACCATTCTTCTGGAATTCTACAAAGATGTCATTCTTGGCACCTAAACTGAGATCATTTGTGCCTGACCCATCATTTTCCATTTATGAATCCAGTTTAATTAGAAAGTAGTTTATGAACAGTGTCCCATTTTTCAAGTGTAATTTGAAATAGCAGATGGCAGACGTGCACATTACCTGCATGCCCAAGCCTCTGCTTACTCATTCACACTCATTCCTTCAGCAAAGCTGACTATAGAAGGTGTGGGAGGCTGGGAGGCAGGCAAGCCGCCTGGGAACCCAGGACTCACTGTTCATTGCTGCCACCTGCTGGGGCCTGTTTGCTGGGCTGGGAAGGCTGGCCAGGAGACCAGGGACCTTCACAAGCTCTAGTTTTCAGCTGTTAAATTCCCAAATGGCGGCCTACCCTGGCTGAATGGATTGTGCTGTATTATTCCAAATCAGCCTGGGTAGGAATTTGACTATTGGGTAACTTGCGGTGTCCTGCCCTGGTTCAGAGAACAAAGGATATGTATCAAGGGCTCACTGATCCTGGAGTGTCAGAGCTTCAACAGCCTTAAAGCAGATACGGTGGAACTTCAGAGTAGTTGAACAAATCAGCTAGGGACTTGGCCAAAGGCAGACTTCCTCTTGCCTGGCATGGTGAAGCATGTCCCTAATACCAGTACTCTCAGGGAAACAGAGGAAGGAAGAATTCAGGCTTGAGGATCAGCCTAGACAGCTTCATGAGATCTTGTCTCAAAAAACAAGGACAAGTCTGCATATGGTGGCACTCCGGAGGCTGAGAAAGGCAGATCTCTACTAGTTTAGGGCCAGCCTGGTCTACATAGAGAGTTGCAGGCCCTGTTTTTATGGGAAGGGGGCATAGTGGCATACACCTTTAATCCCAGTACTCTAAAAGCAGAAGCGGGTGGATTTCTGTGAGTTTGAAGCTAGCTGGGCATATGCACGCACTGGAGCTTGCTAAAGATCCACACACACTGTGGTTTGGGTAGTAATGCGCGCAGTGCAAATGCTATCTGGGCAGTGGCTCCTCCACCATTAGTGCCTCTCCTGAGTGAATTAGCTCTCCTCCTGCAATGAGAGCAGCCATCTTAATATTGGGACGATTCTTTGAAGCACATAGTCAAATTAGGTTGATTGGGTTTTCTGTGGCAGAACACATCATTTGTGAATAATTAACTTCTTTCTCTTAGAAGCTACTATAATTTGTATTGGTCAGTTTATAGTGGGTGCTTCAGTGAGCTTTGGCAAGTAGGCAGGGTTTTGTAGTACATTAACTGGTGTGCTCATTATTAGTTCTTAGTCCTCTCCCGTGTTTGGCAGGCTCGGGCAGCACCAAGATGATACCTTTCCTTATTCTACAGGAAGGGAGTATTCTGAAACTCAAAGTTGGAAGAGCCGTGTTAGTCGGATGGAGTGTGGCTCTCAGTTTTAGTCCCAGCACTCGGGAAGTGGAGGCTCATGGAACACTGGAAGTTGAGGCCTCTCTGGCTTACATCCGTGGTCTAGACCAGCCGAGACTGCGTGATGAGATCCTGTCTGTAAAAGAGGAAACCTCATCTTGGCATTGGGAATTCTAGATACTTGTTCTGTGCTTGCTTCTTGACGTTTACTTCCCGTCCCTGTGGTTGTGTGTCATTTGTGTGTGTGCTCGGAAACTGCTGACTGCAGCCTGTGGACCAAGTCCATTAAGCCACTGAAGTCAAGAGCGGATAGCCCTCCGTATAGTTCGGTGAACATTCAGCAGCCATCCCTAAAGCGTGTTCTCCTAGCCCTTGATACACATAGTTGAGTGTTTAGTGGGGTGTGCTGGTCAACCTCTTCTTGAAAACCCCACTTGGGTTTAAGAAACATTGGCTTTGTTACTTGTGAATAATTAGTGTATTTCAAGTGTTATTTTCTGCCTTAATAATCTCCTGTGGTGTTTTTGTTTGTTTATTTGTTTGTTTTGTTTTGTTTTGTTTTTTAGGGATACCTGAAAGAAATCTTGAAAGAAATTGGCATTCAGAATGTAAAGGGGATTCACAAAAATACCTGGGAGCTGAAGCCGGAGTACAGGCATTACCAAGCCGAAGAGAAGAGTGACTGAGAAGCATGCGGGTGCTGAGCAGTGAGAGGGCGCCGTCAGCCAGCGGCTCACACCGCACTGACCGCCTGCGGGACAGCACAGACAGCAGGTCGGCAGGTCCTCTCAGGAACCTGTTAAAGCTGGCGTTCCTTCCATAAAGTTTCTCAAGTGCTTTTTAAAGAGAAAGGTGTTATTTATAGACTAAACTTGGGTTAAATAAACCATAGCATTCAGCTGGGCATGCTAGCGCATGCCACATGTCCAACACTCTGGAGGACGAGGCAGGAAGATGCCAGTTTGAGGCCAGCTGGAACACACAGCAAGACCCTCCCTCACAAAAGTAAAAAATGTTTTCTTGGTATGGATAGGGGGTTGAGAATTAAAACTGCTTTTGTTTTTAAGGGTTAACTTTTCAAGTATAAGTAGGATATTTCCTAAATGAAAATTGTCTATATTGCTGAGAAACTAATGAGAGAGGGTCATCAACTACAGAAACTGTTAAGACAACACAGTCCAAGTTCCTTTTTCTGAAACTGAAGAGGGAACTCGTCTCCACAGAGGTCATGTTCACCTTCAAGCTTACATCAATAAAGGGACCTGTTCACTTTGTACTAAACAGCAGCTTTCATCATTGGTCTATTTTACCCTTATGATACGATAAGAGAAACAGTCCAAACTGTGGGTGTTAGTGTTCCTTTTTGTTTACTTTTAAAATAAGAAAATCAGGGCTAGAGAGTGGGTGCAGGTTATGGGCATACATTGCTCTTGCAGAAGATATGAGTTTAGTTCCCAGCATTCACTTAGAATGGCTCACAGCTGCCTATAGCTCCAGCTCCAAGGGACCCATACCCTCTTCAGGTCTGCTTAGGCAGCCACACATACATTCACACAGACACATACATGAGAATGTTTTTTTAAATCTCTTAATAATCATTGAAAATTAAGAACCTTTGCATTTCAAGATAAATCTCCTCTAACCAGATATAAGTTCTTTGGAGCCTGGCTCTGGCCTGAGAATTTCACTTCCCACTCTGCAGGCAAGAGCTGACCTTTGACTATCAGATCCCATTGCCAGCTGAGTCGGGGCTGTAGGGTGGTGCAGCTGAGGTAGAAAAGGCTGGCACTGTTTCCTAGAGCATCCAAATACCCTTTTCTTGTCATCTTTAATTGATTGTGGATGGAAGCAGTCCATGCACACCATGAGTTTCTTCTAGACAAAATGCCACGTGTTAAAGCAGTCCTAAATCACACCTGCCATGCAAAAGATCCTTCAACAAAGTAGGCACATGGAAAAGTTGCTTAGAGCTCATTTGCATTTTATTCTTTACTCTGGATGCCTGCAGCCAAGCTGTACAAATGCCGGAAATGTAAGAAAATGTTGTATAATTAAAGCAAGGAAATAATTTTTCATTAAGAGAAGGACCTTAGCCAGTGGTGGAGGTGCACATCTTTAATCCCAGTGCTCAGGAGGCAGAAGCAGGTGGATCTCTGACTGACTTCCAGGACAGCCAGTGCTACACAGAGAAACCCTGTCTCAAAGGAAAAAGAAAAGGGAAAGGGAGAAGGAACTTACACCATTATTTGCTTTAGTGGCATATCACCAGAATGCTGAGGGTAAGTGCCGCTGTTGTAAGAACAGTGTTGTTTTGTCCTCCCTGTAAGACACAAACCTACTAAGGAAGGTAGTCTCGGTCCTCACCCACCCTCCTGATATAGGAGCCAAGTATGCTCTGCCCCTTGGCTCCACTTTTTAAAAACCTTGTATTCTCTGACAATTTCATGCACGTATCCGTTGATCACATCCACTCCAACTTCCATTCCCCCCACTTGTGCATAACTAGAAGCCTAACGTCCAGAAGCCTGTGCTGGTGTCATGGTAACTGCAGAACTTAGTGTGTGGGTAAATTTTACAGTATGTGCCATCCCACAGGACTTGCCATCAACACAAGGATGCCCTCTCTGCTCAGTTTGTTTTTGTAGATGTCGGTAATACCACCATCTCCTTAATAGAACACCAAGTTGGAAATTATACTGGACGGCTCTCTTGAGTCTTCCTCTGGTTACCATTTCAGTTTTTCTGTATCAGCCACAGCCTGTTAGCTGCTTTGCCTTTCATCCAGTGAGATATTCAGAGGCCTGACTGGCCTTCCCAGAGACAGCACAGCCCTGATGAGGGAACAGAGTCAGGCTCATAGCAGACAGGAAACGGATGAGCAGAGCCCTTCCTTGCAGGGCTGTTGAGTATGCTCCTGAGGAGTCTTTGGTAACTCGATGGAAGGAAGAAAGACGAGTTCCAGTAGGACACACACAGAAGATACAACAGCAGCAGACTACCATGCAGGTCCTTTAAGACCGTCTGCTGCCCACTTGACATCTTCTAGACCACCGGTGATGCACTCCCAGGACTCAGCTGTGACATTAGTAAGCACTCAGCTGGATGTTCAAAGGCGTCTGTCACATGTGGACCTCCAAAGAGACAGTGCTGTGCCTTGAACTTCAAAAGTGAATACTGTTCTTTCCACAGTGACGCTAAAGGGGAGAATTCAGTCATGTGTCACCAATATGTTCAGCATACAGAAAAGTTGGCATCACAACTCTGAAAAGATCTCTCAGAACCAGTAACAAAACAAACTACATGGTTTTAAATTGGCAATAAATGTAAACATAACGTTTCTTATAGGGTTGGATCAGTAGCACATGAAAAGCTGCCCAACAATCAGTGGTAACTAGAGAAATGAAATTAAGACCATAAAAATATGCCACTTGCCTGCTGGGTAGGTAAAACCTGTCTATAGAAACTTGGCAGTATCAGGGGCTAGTGCCCAAGGAAAGCGGCCAGAACTCACAGACACTGTCCATGGTCCTGCAGAATGACGCAGCTCTTGAAAAAAATTTTAGAAGCTTCTTAGAGTTAAGCATGCAACTCTGCAGTCCTGCTACCAGGAGATGAAGATGCACATGTTTAGAAACCTGTAGCTTCAGCCGGGCGGTGGTGTTGCACGCCTTTAATCCCAGCACTCGGGAGGCAGAGCCAGGAGGATCTCTGTGAGTTCGAGGCCAGCCTGGTCTACAGAGCGAGATCTAGGACAGGCACCAAAGCTACACAGAGAAACCCTGTCTGGAAAAACCAAAAAACAAACTTGTGGCTTCAATTTCAATCACCAAATCCTGGAAAGCACTCAGATGTGCACCAGATAGATCAGACTTTGGTATAGTCTTGTATTGGGTCTCTTCCCATACTGAAGATGAGGGACTCCTGATACACGCAGTTGGATAGATCTCTGGTACATTTGATGTGGCCACCTACTGTGTGCTTCCATCCAGCATCTGCAAGAGCAGAACAGGGGGAAAAATGTAGGCCAGTATTTGTATGGGGTATACTTAGGAGATACTATAAAGACAAGGGAACTTCGGACAATGAAAAAGCTGATTGCTTCTGTGATTATATGATATGAATGAAAATTTGATGTGCATGTTTAAAAGGTGCCTTACTGCAGATAAGTCTTGTCAGGTGTGGTGGCATATGCCTGTAATCCTAGCAGAGGGTAAACTGAGGCAAGAGGACTGCACTTCCAGCCCAGGCCACATAGCAGGACCCTGCCAACAGATAGTTTTAAAGGAGAGAGGGACATGTTTTCAGACTACTTAAATTTGGCGGGGGGGCAGACTAGGGAGTTAGCCTTGGGCCTGTGCATACTAGTTGTGTTCTCCACAAAGCACTTAGTATCCCAGACAGGCCTGGAGCTTTGGATCCTCTTACCTTAGCCTCCTGAGTAGCCGGGGTTGTAGGCCTGTACCACAAGGCCCTGGTCAAACTGACTTTTTCAAAATAGAGTGAAAACGAGAACAAATGTCCATTAACAGGGAAGGTTAAGTAACTGGTCTATGTAATGGAATGTCTACAACAGTTTAAAAGAATGTGGTATGCTGTGGTGAACTGACAGTTTCCTGCGCTTCAGTATCAACGTGTTTCAGAACAATGCTAAGGGCTAGAGAGATGGCTCGGTCGTTAAGAGCACATGTTGCTCTTGCAGAGGACCGAGTTTTGGATCCCAGCTCCTACAGTGATTCACAGCTAACTAACTACAACCCCAATTCCAGAGGCTCTGACCACCAGACACTTGGTACACATGCATGTGTGGCAAAAAGGCAAAACAGTCATACACATGAACTAAGTAAATCCGAAAAGTTAGCAAATGTTAATTGTGGGTGTTTGAAATTCTGCATAATGTAAGCAGGATAAACTTTTAAGAACACTTTTTGTAAGATGCTGGTTACAGTAATAAAAATAAAACTAGCTATTTTTTGAGAGCATACATGTTTGTAAACACATAAGAAAATGCCAGGGGAGCATACCTAACTTAGAGTACTACCTGTGGGGGGTAGGAACATAGGGCAAAACAAGGTGTTTCTCTCTCTGAGTCTGTACGTTGAAACTGTATTCATTATGTGGTATGTGCATGTGTCTCCAAGCTCAAAGGGAAAGTGTGCCTCTAACAGAGTTCATTAGCTAAAGACTATTCCAACAAATACATGGGATTCCATCTCCCCCCACTTGGCCCACTTGGGCTTTACAGTTTGAAGATCCCTCAACCCCTACCATGGAGCAAGAACACCCTCCAGAGGACTAAGTGGAGGTGACGAGAAAAGACATGGTTCACCAGACACTTAGTAAGTTTCACACACGTGTCCTGAGCTCACATAAGCCAGGTCCCTACAAATGGAGTCTCTACGGTGTTAGCACTCTGAACTGGTTTGCCTGTTGCCTTGGTGTGTTTTCCTAGGGTTAGTATTGATAAATCCCACCCTTTCCAAAGGGAAAACCATACCTGAAGTAAGAGATGAACACTGAGACACTGGAGTGTGGGTTGATTTAAAAAAAAAAAAAGGGGGGGGGCTGTTTCTAAGCAATGCACAGTAAAACAATGTCTTGCCAAGCATGGTGATGTATGCCTTTAATCACAGCCCTCAGGATGCAGAAGCAGTGGATCTCTGATTTGGAGGCCAGCCTGGTCTATATAGCAAGTTTCAGGCTAGCCAGGTCTGCATAATAAGATCCAATCTCAAAAAGGGTAGGGGTGGGGCCGACATGGGCAGCAATGTCTTAGTCATGGAGCTGAAAGGCTAAAGCTTGAACTCAAGTCAAAGCTTTTTGCCAGCCCACACCATTCCCATTCGTGTTTCTGGCCTGTGGAACCTAGGAGGGTGGGACCAACTCATCCATGCTGCATGAAGTTGGTTTTGCGAGCAAAGTTGTCTCCATTGAAGGAAAGACGGGTGGCTAAAGGCCCCAGCGTGGCTCCCAGAGGTCTTTCCTGTTACGGTGTAGCTGTGGAGGGAGGGAGGGAGGGAGGGAGGGAGGCATTACTCACCAGGCTTTCTCTCCTGTTCAAAAGGAAAGCTGCAGTCCTCTCAGACAGCGTCACACAGCCAGCTCTGAGATCACATTCTGTTAACCACCTACGCAGATCCGTCGGAAAGCCGAGCGAGCCTTGGCTTGCAAGCTTAATAAGTTGAAATGAAACACTCGCACATGTGAGTTCAAGTTGTTGCACATGCTTGTGTTGCAGATGGCTGCCAGGGAGTCGACTGGGCAGGGACAGCCAAGAAAACCGCGATAGTTTGATAGTTTCGTTTGCTCTTTGACACAAAGTATGCCTGCACTGCCTAGGTAGCCCTAAATTCCTGGGCTCATGTCCAACTCCTGCCTCAACCTCCAGGACTACAGTTGGGAGTATTTGGAATTGAACCTAGGGCTCACATATGCTAAATGTGCATTCTACCACTGGTCTACATTCCCTGCCCGCAGGACCACATTAAATAATAGTTTAATAATAAATAATAAACGGCTCTTTTCAGTTGCTTTTGGTTGAATCCTCCTGAGGGAAAGTGCACGTGTTGATCAAGGTTAGGGTATCATGTACACGAGAAAAGAAGCCAGGACATTACAGCGAATGTTTCACGTGCTCGAAGCAAACATCCATCTGTACCAAGTTTTTCCCGTGTCACTGTTGCCAGTCACAGAAGATGGAGAGGCTCTGGTTTGAGGGGAGTGGTTGGGTGGAGGCTGGTAAAGGTTACCTTTGTGCTATGTGTCTCAGTCACTATTGTATTGCTGTGAAGAGACACCATGACCAAGGCAACTCTTATCAAGAGAGCTTTTAGTTGGGGTCTTGCTTACAGTTTGAGAGGTTTACTTGATTATCATGGCGGAAGCATGGCAGCACTCATTGTGCTGAGAGCTACATCCTGATCTGTCTGCCGAGTGAGAGGGAACTGGGCCTGGCAGGGGCTTTTGAAATTTCAAAGCTCCTCCCAGTGACAAACTTCCTCCAACAAGGCCACATCTCCAAATCCATCTCATAGTTCCACTCCCTGGTGACCAAGAATTCAAATATGTGAACCTGTGGGGGCCATTCCTACTCAACCCACCACAGGGAGGTTAATGAAGTTAACTTCTGATGGCCTAGTGTTAGGACTGGCTCGAGCCTGGTCTAGAGAAGGCTTTGCGGTATGCTCTCAACCAAAGACGACACATGGCAGAGGCCCTGCTCCAACACATGGGGTGAGTTTCCCCGTATCTGCATCTCACTGAGATCAGAAGGCAGGAGCTGGACAGGCACGTGAGTTCTAGGGAATGACCGTCCCCCACGTGACTTTGTAGCATCACTTGTCCCCTCTTAAAAATAGTCATCACACACCGGGCGGTGGTGGTGCATGCCTTTAATCCCAGCACTCGGGAGGCAGAGCCAGGCGAATCTCTGTGAGTTCGAGGCCAGCCTGGTCTTCAAAGCGAGTTCCAGGAAAGGCGCAAAGCTACACAGAGAAACCCTGTCTCGAAAAATCAAAAAAAAAAAAAAAAAAATAGTCATCACAGAAGCTGGGTGTGGTGGTGTGTGCCTTTAATCCCAATGCTCAGTAAGCAGAGAGATGTGGATCTCTTTGAGTTACAGGACAGCCAGAGCTACATAGTGAGACCCTGTCTCACTTAAAAAAAAATTTTTTTTACAGTCCTGGGCACTGGCCACCATCTCAGGCCACATGGTCTTTGCTGTTTCTGCTTCTGTGGATACTCTGCTCCATCCTGCTCTCTGCAGATTGGCCTCCTTGACAACGCACGACCTGTGTTCTGGCAGAAATGAATGCTCAGGGTTCCAATTTTTTGGGGTAATATTTTATTTTGTATATGGGGATTTTGCCAGCGTGTATGTATATGTACCACTTGTGAACAGGCCCATACAGTCCAGAAGATGGTGTCAGAGCACCTGGAGTTAACAGATGGTTGTGAGCAATGGAAACTGAACCCGATTCCTCTAGAAGAGCACCAAGTGTTCCTCAACACTGGGCCCTCTCTCCAGCTCCAACTCCCCCCCCCCCTTTTTTGGGGGGGGTTGGTTTTTTTCTTAATGCTTAAATCAAACCTTTACATATTCTAATCACACACTCTAGCTTTACATGGCTGTCAGGCCAACCCATTGCCCCCTGTTTCTAGATCAGTGGTTCTGAGGTCTGAGTTGCACAACTAAAGAGGACAGTGAGGAATGATTAGCCAATAATGGTGGACTTTTGAAGAAAACGACCATTCCAGTTCTAGAATCCCTGTGACTCCTTTGTGCAGAGAACAGAATACGCAGTCTAGAGAACAGTAGCTTACGTGGTAAGCTGTATGAAGGACTTAACTGCTTGTGTGTGTAATGAGGAAAGAAGCCGAGCATGGTGGTGCAGGCCTGTAGTCCCAGCAATCAGGAGGGCAAAGGCAAGAGATGAGAAGTGCATGAGTGGGGCTAGCCTGAGCTACATAGACTGTCTCTAAACACAACCAAAAAAAAAAAAAAAAAAAAAAAACCCTAAATTGCACCAGGTAGTGGATTTGCACACCTTTAATCCCAGCAAATCTGTGAGTTCGAGGCCCGCCTGGTCTACAGAGCAAGTTCCAGGACAGCCAGGCTACACAGAGAAACCTTGTCTCGAAAGGACCTTAAATTGCAGTTGGAGCAGCAATTATCCACCAGTGACACAGTTGTTAGCCACAATTTAGAAGTTCCTGACCTCATTTCTGGCAGGTCGCCCTTGAACTCACATATTGCTAGTGTGCACTAATAAGGCATTGTCAGCAGGTCAGAAATGTGACAGCCTTTCTGCAGACACAGGAGCAGGAAAAGCATTCACACGTGTCTTTTTAGTGGAACACAGGCCTCATACACCTGGTACCATGGCCCCCTTCAGTCCCTGGATTCTCTGATACACCTGCTCACCAGAATCCTGGTGGGAGATCAGGGCAAATACAGGCTACTAGCCCCTACTGAGACACATCCCTCGGAAGGAGCCCCCACATCCTTATTCTCACAAGGTTCCAATCACTGCTAATGGCCAGCCAAGACTCAAAACAACTCAGTTTGTCATCCACTGTCAACTAGACAACTAAGCGTCATTTGGTGGAGGTTTTCCTGGTCATGGACAGCTCATAGGAAACTTCAAGGCTTTCCTGAAGAAACTCAGTGACACCCCAACTACTACACATCCCTGCACCCCCTACCCTGGGAACTCAAAAGGGAACCCACACTGACAGAGCGAACCTTGACATAAGCCTCTATTCTCTCCTGGAACCACAGATAAAAGGACACATCCTTGGTCTAGCACTAGAGAGGCAGAGGCAGGTGGATCTCCGAGTTCAAGGTCAGCCTCGTCTACAGAGCAAGTTCCAGGAGACCCAGGGCTACACAGAGAAACCCTGTGTTGAAAAACCAAACCAAACCAAAAAAGAAAGGAGACAAGTGTTCTTGGGCTACACCATAAAGTTGCATCCTGATGAGCCTGTCACAATTTGCAAATTGCTTTAATTCAGCCCAGCCTAGCAACACTGTTCACTATGGAATGTGTTGTTTACCTTGTGCTGGGGTAGCTGCCTGGATGCTGCCATACCATATCAAATTGCATGTCACTGCCCAGGGAACAGATCCAAATTCAAAACTCAGAGTACAGTTTCTGCAGAGTGTGAAGCGCTTTCACACCCTCCTAGCATCCAACCATTGAGTTGGGCCTCTTCTCAACAGTGCCAGAAGGGGAGAGAAGGATATGGAGCAGCTTGGCTCAGTGCCTGCCACAGAGCAGACGAACGGCCAGTAAATGTTCAGTGTGGAATCTGCTTTCCGAGCTGGGTAGCCTGCAGTTCACGGTTCACTTTTAGCCACTTCACAGGAAATGATTGAAAATCCATTAATAGATGAAAGAGACCAAGGAAACCTGGTACTGGTGTGTGTGTGTGTGTGTGTGTGTGTGTGTGTGTGTGTGTGTGTGTGTGTGTGTGTGTGTGTGT